CCTACAACCACCACAACCCACCACAACCACCACACCCACCACAACCACCACAACCACCACAACCACCTACAACCCACCACAACCACCTACAACCCACCACAACCACCTACAACCCACCACAACCACCACAACCACCTACAACCCACCACAACCACCTACAACCCACTACAACCACCTATAACCCACCACAACCACCTACAACCCACCACAACCACCACAACCCACCACAACCACCTACAACCCACCACAACCACCTACAACCCACCACAACCACCTACAACCCACCACAACCACCTACAACCCACCACAACCACCTACAACCCACCACAACCACCTACAACCCACCACAACCACCACAACCCACCACAACCACCTACAACCCACCACAACCACCTACAACCCACCACAACCACCTACAACCCACTACAACCACCACAACCACCACAACCACCTACAACCCACCACAACCACCTACAACCCACCACAACCACCACAATCCACTACAACCACCACAACCACCACAACCACCTACAACCCACCACAACCACCTACAACCCACCACAACCACCTACAACCCACTACAACCACCTACAACCCACCACAACCACCACAACCCACTACAACCACCTACAACCCACCACAACCACCACAACCCACCACAACCACCACAACCCACCACAACCACCACAACCCACTACAACCCACCACAACCACCACAACCACCACAACCCACCACAACCACCACAACCACCTACAACCCACCACAACCACCTACAACCCACCACAACCACCTACAACCCACCACAACCCACCACAACCACCACAACCCACCACAACCACCTACAACCCACCACAACCACCTACAACCCACCACAACCACCCACAACCCACCACAACCACCACAACCCACTACAACCACCACAACCACCACAACCACCACAACCCACCACAACCACCACAACCCACCACAACCACCACAACCACCACAACCCACCACAACCCACCACAACCCCCTACAACCCACCACAACCCACCACAACCACCACAATCCACCACAACCCACCACATCCAACTCTACCACCACAACCCACTACAACCACCTACAACCCACCACAACCACCACAACCACCACAACCACCACAACCCACCACAACCACCACAACCCACCACAACCACCACAACCCACCACAACCACCACAACCACCACAACCCACCACAACCACCACAACCCACCACAACCCACCACAACCACCACAACCACCCACAACCACCACAACCACCACAACCCACCACAACCACCACAACCCACCACAACCACCACAACCACCACAACCCACCACAACCCACCACAACCACCACAACCACCACAACCACCACAACCACCACAACCACCTACAACCACCTACAACGCACCACAACCACCACAACCACCACAACCCCCTACAAACCACCACAACCACCTACAACCCACCACAACCACCACAACCCACCACAACCACCACAACCCACCACAACCCACCACAACCACCACAACCCACCACAACCCACCACAACCACCACAACCCACCACAACCCACCACAACCCACCACAACCCCCCACAACCCACCACAACCCACCACAACCACCACAACCACCACAACCCACCACAACCACCACAACCACCTACAACCCACCACAACCACCACAACCCACCACAACCACCACAACCACCACAACCCACCACAACCACCACAACCCACCACAACCACCACAACCCACCACAACCACCACAACCACCTACAACCCACCACAACCACCACAACCCACCACAACCACCACAACCACCACAACCACCACAACCCACCACAACCACCACAACCACCACAACCCACCACAACCACCACAACCCACCACAACCACCTACAACCCACCACAACCCACCACAACCCACCACAACCACCAATATCACACTCCAGAACCACCAACTCCACCTTATGCTAACAGGAAAAGAGGGGAGGGAAATAAAGAAAACGGCACACACATGTAATGAGAAACTCAACAAGATGTTCCAAAACGTTTTTTTTTTAATAAGAGTCTGGGCCTGGATTTCAGGGGAGACTATACACAAACTGTCAGGAAGCAGCAAGTGACACGTAACAGTTACTGAATAAGGAACACACACGGAACAAGACGCAGCAAAGGAACGAGAACCTGACTAGGAATTACAGGGATTACTGCACGAGAAATAGTACACAGACGAATTATCTTTTTTATTTTTTTTTTTGAGATATATACAAGAGTTGTTACATTCTTGTAGAGTTGTTACAAGAGTTGTTACATTCTTGTAGAGTTGTTACAAGAGTTGTTACATTCTTGTAGAGTTGTTACAAGAGTTGTTACATTCTTGTAGAGCCACTAGTACGCGTAGCGTTTCGGGCAGGTCCCTGGAATACGATCCCCGCCGCGAAGAATCCTTCTTACAACCAAGTACACATTTTACTGTTGCGTTAAACAGAGGCTACAGTTAATGATTTGCGCCCAGTAAATCCTCCCCGGCCAGGATACGAACCCATGACATAGCGCTCGCGGAACGCCAGACGAGTGTCTTACCACTACACCACGGAGACTACAAATCTCTAGCCTGAACGGGAAACACCTCTCTACCCAACAGAATACATTCTTTCTCAGCCGTTCATTGCTCCCCAAACGCTCTCAAGAATATGAACTTGCTTGTGGGGAAATATAACTTAAGAATGATGTGTGTGACGCGAGAGAAAGGTCTATATGTAAGATGACCAGACCACACACTAGAAATTGAAGAGACGACGACGTTTCGGTCCGTCCTGGACCATTCTCAAGTCGATTGTCTCTCTCTCTCTGTCTATATGTAAGAATATAACGAATATAGGGAAAGCAGGAAGACCAAGATATATATTCCTATAACTACTATAAAACCTGGCGTACTGACAAGAATTTTATAGCCCCCATTAAACTCTAATGTCCTTGTATGTAGTGACTGTTTTATGAGTTTGTAAATACGGCTTTTGATGTGATTCAATTTGATTTGCTTACTGAAATTGTAAAATAATAATATGGTATATCTGTGAGGAACTTCTTTGGAATATATCGTAGTGTATGGGGGTATAAGGCCTGTTTCTAGGGGTGTCTTAGGACAAGGGTTCGATCCCATCGTCCCGCTCCAAAGGGTTTCTCAAAAGGCGAGATGGAGAACAGCCAGAAATCTCACGATTGAGTCTATTGTTTCATTTGATTGTCACATTAAAGGGGCATATGGTTTTTCTCTGGGACTTCGCCCATGTAAGGCACTGAGAGTCACTCTTGGAGAGTGACTCTCACACCTCGGACTCTTAAATGCCACATACCACCAGCCTGAGGCAAGATACTAAGAAACACTTGATGTAATGATAAAATATTGAATATGAAAGAAGCACACAGGATAACTCACTCTCTCTCTCTCTCTCTCTCTCTCTCTCTCTCTCTCTCTCTCTCTCTCTCTCTCTCTCTCTCTCTCTCACTCATGTCTCTCACCAGTGACAGGTGAGCAAGTCATGTCATTGGAGTCATGACAAGCCTTAAAAAAAATATCTGACATAGCATTACATTTGTAGATAAAAACTGTCCATCTCCCAACATTCTAATGAATTCCAAGGACTAATTATATAGACACTAGTAAAATTTCTATCGTTCCTGTCATTTTAATAATAATGAGAACGCCAAATTGAATAAAAATTCCCATAGTTTGTCTATCTATAATTTATATTATTTGCGTGATTTTTTTTTGGGGGGAGGGAATGATAAATTCCCCCCACAATTATCCTTTAAATGTCAATAAAATCATTCTTTTAAGAGTTTTTGTAATGTTTTAAAACCATAAATGATTGAATTTTTGAAAATTTTGGCCTTATTTGGGAGGCTTTTTAGCGAACTTTTGTTTCTCTTCGTAAATAGTTAATATGAGGCTACTTTTATATAAGGAAAATTTTGTATGATAAAAGTTTTATAATCTCTTGTGTGTGTTTCATGTGGTCTTTCATTTCATGTTTCATGGAGACCACATTTCATGTGGTCTCCATCTCATGTTGGCCTCCGAATGCATGATAGAGCTGATAAGTTAGCCAAAGAATCTGCCTTTAAAGGAGCCGTTGAGTGTAACCTTGGATTATCAATGAGCAATCTGAGGGCAGCAGTACACCGAGAACTTCAACAAGATCTTGTAGATCTGAGGCAAAGTGAAATTGACACCAGTAATTCCATCTATCGTCATACTATCATGCAAGAGGAGCCACACATCTATGGATCATCCAATAAAATCAGCAGACTTCTAGATGTTACCACTGCTCGGCTTAGACTCGGTTACAAGTATCTCTGGGAATTCTCATTATCTGCTGATGTAGACCTGACCAAATGTAAACTGTGTCAACAAAATTATTCGCACACCCTCCGTCACTATGTGATGGAGTGCGAAAAGATACGTGAATTTAGAGACAATTCTATAACCAATGTTCCAGCGATGTGTCAATATTTCATTCAAAATGATCTGCTACCAGAAATTTTAGCCAAATATCCCCAGTTTGCTAACTGTAGGTAGTAACTGAGTGATTGTAACCTATCCACCGCTGCCCACTGGATGGGGGGCGGTGTGCAGGACAAACATATCAATTGTGACACTAGCTCTCCACATATGTCAGTTGCTTAATTTAGAACCTGTACTTGTGGTCGATCTCGAACCCATTGTTGATGTGACGACTTCTACTGAATTCTGTAACTAGTTCATCAAGATTGTAACTTGCTTAGCTAAATGAATTGTGGGGTTCAGTCCCTGAGCCCATTATGTGCCTCTGTAACCCTTTCCACTACCGCCCACAAGATGGGTATGGGGTGCATAATAAATGAACTAAACTAAACTCTTGTGTGTGTGCACTAAGTACTAAATTATTGACTAGTGTGAATATGTATTGATTATGTACTATCACAAGGATAGTCCACTGCCCAGGCTTGCCCCACTGCCCAGGCTTGCCCCACTGCCCAGGCTTGCCCCACTGCCCAGGCTTGCCCCACTGCCCAGGCTTGCCCCACTGACCAGGCTTGCCCCACTGACCAGGCTTGCCCCACTGCCCAGACTTGCCCCACTGCCCAGGCTTGCCCCACTGCCCAGGCTTGCCCCACTGACCAGGCTTGCCCACTGCCCAGGCTTGCCCACTGCCCAGGCTTGCCCACTGCCCAGAATTGCCCACTGCCCAGACTTGCCCCACTGCCCAGACTTGCCCAGACTTGCCCCACTGCCCAGACTTGCCCACTGCCCAGACTTGCCCCACTGCCCAGACTTGCCCACTGCCCAGACTTGCCCCACTGCCCAGACTTGCCCACTGCCCAGACTTGCCCCACTGCCCAGGCTCACCCAATCGACCATCCTCTGGTCGATTGGGCAAGG